TGTTTGAACTGACAAAATATTTATGACACTCCACATGCCAGATGGGTTCGCCTTCTTTGCAAGTTTTTGATTAAATAATCCAAACTGTTTCCTTTCCCATATGTCCTCTGCTAATCTATCAGAAGAAAGTACTTTCTTTTTCAAAAGTTTTTAATCACAACGAGGCCAGTGACGAAATAATGCAACTCCTAATGGATTCATGTTTCCGCAGTTGTGCTTTCATTTGAATTTGCCAAACGCTAAACTCAAGAAGAATACTGAAGAGAGCCAATTTATCAAACCACAAAGATGTGTTAGTGGGGAAAAAGAGCCTGTCACACTTTCATTGGGTTTCAGTTCATGTGAACACCCCTGTGGCTCTAGATAGATACATAGATAGATAGATAGATAGATAGATAGATAGATAGATACATAGATATATAGATACATAGATACATAGATATATAGATATAGATAGATAGATAGATACATAGATAGATAGATAGATAGATAGATAGATAGATAGATAGATACATAGATAGATAGATACATAGATACATAGATAGATAGATAGATAGATAGATAGATAGATAGATAGATAGATAGATACATAGATAGATAGATAGATAGATAGATAGATAGATAGATAGATAGATACATAGATAGATAGATAGATAGATACATAGATAGATAGATAGATAGATAGATAGATAGATAGATAGATAGATAGATACATAGATAGATAGATAGATAGATAGATAGATAGATAGATAGATAGATAGATAGATAGATACATAGATAGATAGATAGATAGAGAGATAGATAGATAGATAGATAGATAGATAGATAGATACATAGATAGATAGATAGATAGATACATAGATATATAGATAGATAGATAGATACATAGATAGATAGATAGATAGATAGATACATAGATAGAGAGATAGATAGATAGATAGATAGATAGATAGATAGATAGATAGATAGATAGATACATAGATAGAGAGATAGATAGATAGATAGATAGATAGATAGATAGATAGATAGATAGATACTTTATTGATCTTGAGGGGAATTCAAAGCATCCAGTAGCAGGTTACAAAGACGTACATGAAACATTTGTTACAAATTAAACTGCAAAACCTTAACAGACAAATCAATCAACTGAACCAACTGAAGGTTTCCACCCTCATCAAGGGAGCAGCCAGTCTGCTCTGAAGATCAGGGGAGCCTGAACACCGTCATTAACAACAGAGTGACTGATGAGATGGTGACAGGAAGAGGTGGGCAAGGACCTAATGAGTGCAGGTGCTAATGCTTCATCAAGGTGTCTGGTTTTACAAACAACAGCGTTTGGCTGCTGTTTGTCCAAGCTAAGTTCCCATGGTGACACTTTTGAGAGGAACACTTTGCAATTCAAAGTGGACAGTCAGGATAATGTTTCTTTGTAGGACAAATGTATCACTGACAATCTAAGTTCAACCAACTCTTGGTGAAAAACATATTTCTATCTTTGCTGCTCAGCGTCAGTGCTGTTGCGTTACACCATGGAAACCACACAAGCTGTACATGTCAGCTAAGTCTTGATTTTGTGCTTCTCTGAACATTTCCACAGCGGGTACTCATAGTGATGAAAACACATTTTCTCCCTTTCACCAAGAACAAATGAATCCATCATTTCTCATTTACCCAAAGGGCATTTCACTCCAAACCATCTTCATCAATCATGAAAGAGCATAAACATACAGTAAGTACCTCTTTGCAAGGAATCAGTCTCCTGCTCAGTTGCTTTAATTCTGGATCTAGCAAAAAGTCATGTACAGTGCAAACCCTCCCACGTGCAAAGAATAACTTTATATAATTTACATAAAAAAGCCTAATCATCCAGGATATACACATTTGTGAATTTACATCTCTTACCTCCAGCAAGTATTTTTACATTCAGTTGAATAAACGTTGTATTTTAAAAACCAGTAAGAATGTTAAGTTAAATCCTTGATGTATAAATCTCTTCTTATTCTTATGTTTTATATTCTAAGTGCTTATTTAAGTATCTATTCTTATATTGTTTTATTTGCTCTGATAACCTGCTGCTGTAACACCACAATTTCCCAGTTTGGGATCAATAAAGTAATTCTATTCTATTATTGTTACAGAGTTGATGTGAAAATCTCCTGGACAAAGAAAAGCAGAGCTATAGTATCATGTGTGTGCGACTATAGCGGGACTAGAACATATTGACCAAGTAGGTATTCAACAGCAGCCTCAACACCATCTGTGTTTCAGACTGCAGGATTCAAACTATTCTAAAATGTGAAGAGTGAACAACACAAAGCATGCAGGTCAACAGTGAGGATGTTTCCTGCAGATTCTGTGCACATTTAGATGTTGTAACCTATAGCCTCAAACCCTGACATCATATATGACAGCAGTTAAATAAACACAGATAGATGGGACTATCACTAAATGTTGTTCTATTCATTCAGGAACCTGGGACATGTCTCCGGTTCCCCGAGGTGACTGCAGGCCTGTCACCAGGTGAGTATGGGTAATGATATCAGTCCCTGCAGGGCAGAGTGTGATAGAGGAACAATAACAGAGGAGAGGTATCAGCTCTCTCTCTCTCTCTCTCTCTCTCCTCTTTTAAACTCTCAGCCCTGATCTGCCTCATAGATTCTAGGTCAGTAGTGGCTTTTTAAAGACTTGATAAGACCCTCCGAGGAGTTTGGTGCTGCTAAATAGGTCTGCATTGGAGCATGACACTCTTAAAGAGGAGAGGAGCTGTCGTTTTCTGTACTACTTTGAGATATAATACTCTAGGGCTAGATTTAACACAGTGTCTTAATGTTAGTTAGAAAAGATATCCTGGAGGGTTACAAATCATTCATGATCAACACACACAACCAGTAAAAAAGAAAGATGTATCAAAGCAGAGAGACAGTAGTTATAAATGCAATTCCATTAGTGTATTGGTCCTCAGTGGTTCTCAACTGGTGGGTGAGGACCCAAAAGTGGATCACAGAGCAGATTCTTGTGGGTCGCGAGACTCGCAAATGTGTGCATGGAAAGGAAATTGTGTTTAGAAATGTCTATGAAGCACTTTTTTTAAACGTGTTTGTTTTGTTCCAGTCCCTTCTTCTGTCACATGTTCTCTACCGCCTGAGGCCCAAACTGCTCAATTTTACATTTAATAAATGTGATGGGTTGAAAAATATCAGACATTTGGTTTCATGATTGTTCATGAGGGAGTTGGTGGCCGGTCCTGAGGCTCCATCAGTTGAGAACCACACTGCTCTAGAATTCACTTTACAGACTGAAATGATATTTTTGATATGTTTCTGAATCAGTTTAAGAAGAAGCTACAAACAAAATGGATCAAAGACGCATGAAAAGAAGGAATTAGTCAAATAAATGTGGACTGGTTTCTCTGCACAGACCATAAAAATACTCTTGAGAAGGCTGTAACTACAAACTACTTTCTTAAATATGTGTGTTGAGTAATCATTTATATTGCTGCTATATCGGCCTGTGCAGGTCGTCAGGAAAAAGGCGCAGCTAGGAAATACAATCTGTGACGCGCTGTCAGAATAATTCACTTCCAGATGCAAGCTGCGTCATTTATTCGACAACACATGAAATTACAACTGGAACCAGTTACCTGATCGTAATATCTGTGTGTGATTGCGGTGCAGTGTTGTGGCGGTCAACAGAAAGGTTCCGCTTGCAGGCTCACCCTTTCTCTCCATTTAAGCCAATACCCAGGTGAACAGGTGAGCGTGGTCCATATTGATTGATTGCCATCAACACAAAAACAGGGTGAACACGCCCTACAGTAGATCTTAAACAATAATTAAACTAAACTTATGATTCCTACATTTTATATAAAACAGGGATAAGAAGGAGAAAAGGCAAACAAAATATTCCATAGTGCAAGTTCGACCAGAAAAAGTCTCTTATCTAACATGAAACCTTTCTGGTGAAGAAATTGCTTCAATAATTAATAAAATGTCTTAACTACTGTTAGTTGAAAAATTGACTAAATCTGTCAATTCTATGTCACAAACGTTTGGGTTTTATTTACAAACTAGATGACTGATTATTGCAAGACTGCAAAGGTAGTCCTAATCTGAGCATTCAGTCAGTCAGTGAGAAATTAAACACAAATGAGGGTAAAGTGCGGGGGGGGGTCCCACGCTACCCCACCATGCAGAGTCCACATAATCTTTACAAACTCCCCTGATGCACTGACTCTCTTTTAAACACGTCATGCCACGGTGGGATTTCACCACAGCTTTTAAAACCTGCAAAGCTGAGGCATGCATTCCTCACATATGCAACAGATAAACACCCTGCCATCAGTGGACACAGAAGCACTCAGCACAAGCCAACTGCAGGATGACAAAGTCAAAATGCAATGGGGGCAGGCGAGTGTCATGATTGAAATTCTCCCAGAACAAAACCTTGTTTGTGTGATTATTGTTCGACAGGCAAAAAAAATCCATTCCACATGATGCATTCATTGTTTTCAGCCAAACACGCAGCAGGCCCCACGGCAGCCACAGCTACTCTATAATGGCACCCAAAAAGACAAGTGAGAGAGTGGTCAACATCAGGAGGATATTACACGCTTAAAGTTAGAAGTCATGTTAGAAGCATACGATTCTATTTAGAAAGTATTTGAGTAGTTATTTAGTCAAGTTCTTGCAGGGATGTTAAATTGCAGAAGGTTAAAAAAACAACAACAAACTAAACACATTTATTACTGAGCAATAAGCACACACAGTGACACACTATGCATTATCATTTCACACATGTTTTGAACCACAGTGTGTCTGGTTGAGTCACCCTTCAACAGGTGACGAAGCAATAAAATGCAGCTGCCTTTTAAAGGAGAAGCTTCTGCAGACACATGCTGCAAACCAGTAACTAAGGCCACACATCCGTCTGAGGGGGGGGGGGGGGGGGGGTTAGAGGGCTGAACAGTTAATAAAGTATTTGAATCCGGTATGCGCACTCACCTCAATCCATTTCTGTGCCTCCTGAAACGCGGCGTCTGCGGCGGACTCGGTCCCCGGGTGATGCTGATGAGACGGTCCGATGTCTGCAACCGGACTTGCCATTGGCGAAGAGGCTCTGCTCTCCCAAGTACTTTAAAGCCTGGAGGATTCTTGCAAAAAGCGGCTCAGTGGTGAGTTATTCCCCCAGAATCGGTCAGCCGGTTTCTCCTCCGTCGGTTGTAGGTGTTGCAGCAGCACCGGCGAGGCGAACGAACCAGTTCCTGCTCTCCGGTATCGCTCCTCTTGGGAGCCTGTAGGTAGATGATGATCAGCGTCAAGTCAGCCACACCTAGTTACAGGACTTCCGGTGTCGCGTATCAAAATAAAAGCCTTTTTGTTCGAGTAAATTGTAGTAGTGACTATTTATTTCGGTCCATGACAACAAAGCATAAAACATTACACGAACAATAATAAAAATTATTATTATTATTGCCTACCCTTTGAACATTTCATTTATACAGTATATCAAAACAAGAATAGCTGCAAAAAAACAAACAAAGTAACCTGATTTAACAAAACAGAAAACAGTTAACCAAATCAAAACAATAAAAGGGAAATAAATAAATAAATGATAAAGTAACATAGACATACTGCATAACTTGTAAATAAATTATTTGATACAAAAATAATTACACCTTCCATTTTATACATACGATTTACAGGCCAGCTAAATAACGTAATGTTAAACATAATCCAGGTACACAGTTAACTTTACGTTAGAACCAGATTCTGTGTCTCCATGGTAACCCTAAAAAACGCTACCGTCAACTAACTAATCTTAAAAGACATTCCCAGAATACTCAAAGACATTTTAAAGCAACCAAAACAGATTAAAAGACATTAAAGTAAAGGCGCAGTTTGCGGCATGTTTCGTGTAATTTGAGGTGCAACTGTGTTTCTACAAGAAATGTGCTACAGGTACACCGACGAAACCCGGAAGTAGATACGGGTCTTTCATTTTGGCGGTACATACGTAAACAGGTGTTGTGTCGAATAATGCTACCCTTTGAGTTGTGCGCCCATGTGGCCGTGCTAAAATCAAATCTTAATTAAATAAAGGTTTTGTTTTAAGGTATCAAAGCATACCTCCTGTTTCCCTTAAAGTGCAAATATAACTGTAGTGGTGTTTAAAAAATATTTTTCCTGTAATATTTGATAGTCAAGGTGAGTGTTGTCCATCAATATAGGATTTACCTGACACCCTATATAAATACAGTACCAATTCTTTCTCTGATAATACATAGATTAAGTAGTAAATTAACATTGAGTCTGTCTGTTTTTGTCCTGGTAGCTTTTACTTTTACTTTACTTGCTGCTATCGTTTCGTACTACGGTCACATTTTCGACAAGGCAGCACATCTCGACAGAACACCAGAAGAAACCGGAAATGAACTGTAATGTTTTTTGTTTTTTTTTATGGGAGAGTGAAATGCCAACTTATTATTAAATTAAAACTACTAATGTACGTGCAATCAACGAAGGTATGTGAATGTGTATTTAATGGCTGACCAATATTATTTTTTTTTATCATTGTGCAAATGGCTTCAAAAGCAGTGTACGTGTTGCAGAGGTCACATTTGATATTCAACAAAATTAAATGACCTCTTACCAACTGACTTTACCCGCCCGCATAGATTTTTTTTTTTAATTTAGACTCTTATTCTTGTTGCCAAACAGCGTGACTTCCGGTGTAACCTATCTGCTCCTGGCTAACTTTACTCAGATGGAGCGACAGGACTTGCACAGTGCACTGCACACCGCAGTATTATTCGCTCCAATGGCCAAAAATACACAGAGCAGTGCCGCTCCGCCACCAGCCAATGAGGGCAGCAACACACAGGGGACCTCACACCCACTTTTACTTTCTGGAGCAACTGAGAGAGAGCAGAGGTCACTAGTTTGGAGCAAAGAGACTCATTTAAAAAGAAAACTCTGACCTTCAGTCACTGATATTTATTAGGAAATTAACAGTTAGAAACAACTATATTTAGACAAAGCTGTAAAAAAGAAAAACTCTTATTAAATGTTTGGCATTACAAATCTGTAGACTGTGTTCATCTGCAAGTTGTGTCTATTAAACTCAACTTTTTTCTGTTCAAGGGACAGCCCATAAGACCCTGCTACATTGAGAATGCCTCTGTTGTTCATGATTTAGTCAAATTTGAATCTTTCAGTCAGTTTAATCTCAGTTCTTGTGGGCGATTTTGCTTAAGAAATACTGTGTGAGGAATAACTGGAGTACCAAGATGATTCAGTTGTCAACAGGACATAAGCGGACTTGCACTTCAGAAACTTTTGTAATCTGTGATTTGCATCTTAAATTGGGTATCTCATCACTTTTCCACCCTTAAACGCTGTGGTTGAACTACCCAAACAGGTTATATTACCATTAATTTGGACTAAATCCAACCGTGTGTTCCCCTTAATTCACTGGTAAAGACTATTTAAAGACATTTAGAGTAAACTACAAGCCCACTGTGGTCTAAAATCAGGGACATTTCTCAAACAAAAGTCAACACAGATATCAAAAAATGTTACACAATTTAAAAAAAAACCTCATTAATAACTTTATGAGTTTATAAATTGTACCTTTTATCAAAGATGCCCCTGAGGTAAAAATGATACGAATCCAGACATCCAAATAAAGTGTGCACAGCTTCATCGATATCCTCACATCTCTGCTGACCTCTAGTGGATAAATGAAGTAGTACACAAAAGTAGGAGGCGGAGCTTCCCAGGTTGGATTACTGTCTGTTTCCCACTCTCCAAGGCTACTATTTCCTGGATTTGAAAATAGCGTAGTGTGACAACTAAGCCCATTGAATGACTTGTCTGTCTAAAAGTAAAATCAGGTTTTGTTTCTTTCAGCAGATTGTTTTTATGTTGCAGCTCAGTGTCTGTACGTACAGGAGTGACAGTCCCATCTGTGTTTGACAGGAGGCTCTCCTAATCTCGACTGGGAACAGAGCAGTTGGGTAAGTTTTACACCTTTACAGCTTATACTTTATTATACTTTACTGCTTTGACCTACATGCCTCCACTTCAGTGTTCTCTAACTTTAACTGTGAAGACTTTGTGAAGCTACTGCTCGACTTTTCTAATTCATTATGCTTCTAGTTTCAAACTATTAAAGAACTAATAAGTTAAACATGATGTATTATTATTATTATTATTAGAAACATGGCATTGCAGTAACATTACTGAGGTTCTGCACACACTAAACTTGATGTAAGAGACTCCATCTTTTATTTTTTATTGCAGGGTTGTTGTTTTTATTTACCTTTATTTAGAGGGAGGACAGTGGATAGAGTCAGATACAGGGAAAGAGAGACAGGAAAGGAGCCACAGGTTGGATTTGAACCCGGGCCATCCGCTTTGGAGGACTACAGCCCTCCTACATGGGGTGCCCACACTGTGAACTAGGATACCTGCAGGGGTTTTCAATGTGTCATGTTTTCTAAGCTGGCTGGTCTTTAACTGGATAGTTAAGAATCTGCAGGATATTTGTTTTAACATGTGAATATTTGACATTTCAGTGAACGCTCTCGCAGTAGAAACTGACTTGGAGTTAGATAAGGAGACTCTCAGCCTTTCAGGACTCAAAGTATATCATGCATTCAAACTGACACATATTAAAGTGCTCATTCCAAATATATGACATCAGTTTGTCTCCTGTGTTTTTCTGGTTGCATGAAAAATTAGATCATATAAATATGCAATGCTTAACAAACTCTATTATATTACATTTTGAAGTGCTTTGTGTGATTCAGTATCAAATCAATATCTTGCCAGTGTGATAGTGACTTTGAGAAATAGTCACATTATGAGTCATAATTAAAGGGCACATATGTAAATGCTTTTCCTGCAAGTGTTAAACAGTGAACAATCAGCTTTTGAATGCAGAAATAGAGGACTTTTGTATTTTCTAAACGTGCTTTTTCACCAGAAAAATTACCGGAAAACGCAGCCTAACATTTTCATTTAAACTTGTGCTTTCATTCAAAGGTAATCAGCGATTCTTTCTCGCTTCTTCACAGCAGTGAAATGTGGCTCGTGGTCGTCTCCGTCCCGCTGCTCCCGGCGCTCCTCATGGTGTCCAGTCGTTTCCGTGTCAAAGTTTCCACGCTGTGCCATCAAGCTGCGGCGTGGGCGCTGAGGCTGCTGCGAGGAAAAGTGTGCGTAAGGAGCGCTCATGCTTTTGTGTTCTCCAACTGTACCCACGGGAAGGCCGACAGCGTCATGGCGACCTTTGAACTTTACGCTGACACAAACCCGTCCCTCTGCATCAGCCCCTCGACTGGTCAGTATGCAGCACGATGTCTTTATTGAGCAGCTGGGCCTCATCGATACACGACCCTTCAGACATTTAAACATGAAGCCCAGACTGCTTCTCAGAAATAAAGTTAAACTTCATTGAAGTGTTGTAGTCCTCGAGAGCTGTCTCGGTCTCTAGGTCGGTCTCCAGACCACTTTTTGAAGGTCTCAGCTCAGAATGGCTTTCACCTTTACTCCGTCTTCTCTCTGTCTTGGACTGGGTGGACTCCAGGTTTTAAATCAAGACCGGTCGAGACCACCACTGAGAGGCTTCTTTCTAAAGTCATCTCTTTTTATTAGAAGGAAAAACCCCTCTTTCCAAAAGCATGAATAACTTAAAATCATTCATAACTAGATTTTTAACCCCCGGTTACAATCGCAACCTTCCCAGTGTTACGGTCTAAATAAGTGAGATATTTTTGGTCTTGTCTTGGTCTCAGTTAGTGTGGTCTTGACTCCAACACTGCTGCAATGCATTGTACAATATGATACGATATGACACAACATGATAATGTTTCATGCCCCCTTGGTGTTACTCAACAGAAAACAATAACAGCAAACAGAAGAAGACATGTAAACAGAGAGGGACATACCAAAGAAAAAACACAACAAAATGCAGCTTTTCTCCACATTTCCCATATTGCACAAGATCCACATAACACTGATGTGTGAAAAAGATGAAAACCATGATGCTTTCTCACAATCCCTGCAGCCTCATAGAAACATTATTTCAGACTTTGTTTGAGGTCGGCACAGAGCAGATGAGTCAGAGTCACACGCAGGGCAGCGCTAAGATCAGTGCAGAGTGGAGAAGTAAACGCCACATATACATGTCCCATGCACATTAACATGCACATCCTGCAGAGGGAAGCGACTCCTGTTGTTTGTAAGGCAGTATGAAAACTTGCTGCTCAAATCTGAAGATAAAGAAGGGGTCTAAAGCAAATTAAAAGTGAATATATTTACAACCTTATCATTATTATGCAGCTGATCTCTGGTGCAGGGACATACAGGAAACAGCGGAGGCAAAGGTTGGGCTTCTGTTAGATCTGGAAAGTCACTGCTGGTTATTTTATTCAGATTAGTATCTTTAACTGTCCTAGAAATCGGGCTGGGCTATTATTTGTGATTTTATCGTTATTCCAGTATAATCATTCACAATAAACACAACACGAATGTCTGAATTTATCGCAATAATTTACAAAAAAAAAAAAAAAGATTGATTTTTCACTCAGCTTCTGTTATTTTACCATTTTAATCACAATATTTTAATGCATTGAGATGAAGTTAAAGCTAACAATCAGCTCAGTTGGATTAATTAGAGCAAGTTTCATGGAGGGGGGCAGTTTTTGGATTTAGAAAGGACATGTGTTTGTTCTGTCAAACATGAAGATGTAGCAAACAGACAGAAACTCTTTCAGCTTTTATGCACTTTTTTAAAATTTTTGAAATAAAAATCCTGTTTCCCCGTTGTCCTCGCTGACATGAAGGTGAAGCAGTGGCTGAGGTGGTGAGGCGTGTCAGCCCCTACCAGGTGCTGGAGTTGGGGATGCACTGTGGCTACTCCTCTGTCCTCCTGCTGCGTCTGCTGCCCCCTGCTGGCAGGCTGATCACAGTGGAGCTGGACCCCCTCACAGCAGAGCTCGGGGAGGAGATCATACTTGTAGCTGGCTTCAAGCACACCCAGGTACACACGGGGGAAAATTTAATTTCCACTCCTTCAATTAAGAAGATGAAATTTCCACTTTTCAACATTTAGATAAGAGACAAAAGAAACAGGAAATTTATTTAATTTTAATTTAATTTAATTTAATTTAATTTTATTTAATTTTATTTAATTTTATTTAATTTTATTTAATTTTATTTAATTTTATTTTATTTCATTTAATTTAATTTTATTTTATTTTTAAATCTATTTTTTTTAAATGTATTATTATTATTATTATTTTTTTTTAAATCTATTTTTAGTATCTATTTTTTTGTACATTCTTTAATTTTATTTAATTTTATTTTTAAATCTATTTTTTTTAAATGTATTATTATTATTATTATTATTTTTTTAAATCTATTTTTAGTATCTATTTTTTTGTACATTCTTAATTTTATTTTATTTTATTTTTAAATCTATTTTTTTTAAATGTATTATTATTATTATTATTTTTTTTTTTTTTTAATCTATTTTTAGTATCTATTTTTTTGTACATTCTTAATTTTTCTTTTTTTATTTAAATTGTACTGTGGTCACTTTTTGTTTGCAATCTTTGCTCTTTGCTGCTGTAACAATGTAAATTTCCCCGTTGTGGGATAAATAGAGGATTATCTTATCTTATGTTATCTTATTTATTTATTGTGCTCTTGCTGCAGTTCCAGGTGTTGACTTCTAGCTCAGCTGACGCCATCCCAACGTTGCGCCCCTTTCTCGAGCTCAGGTGAAAGGACCAGTGAGGGGCTCGATCTGGTTCTGATGGACCATGACCCCCAGCAGTACCTCTCAGACCTGCTGGCTCTGGAGAGAGAGGCGCTCCTCCGACCCTCCGGCTGCTCCGTGCTCCTGATCCACAGGAACCAGAGAGCTGAAGACGTCAGAGGAATCCTGGATCAGATCAGAACGAGGGCCGACCACTACTGCATCAAGTCCGAGCTTCAGTGCATGACTGAACTCTTCTATCGAAGGGAAACACAAGGACAGACAGGTGATAGACGTGGAGCGGGCTTTCAGTTTGTGAGTGTGTGTGTGTGTGTGTGTGTGTGTGTGTGCATTAGAACAAAAGAGTGTTAATATTACTTGTGTGTTAAAGATTTTGTGGATAAAAATAAGTGCTAAATAAAATATTTTCTACAGCTCACACTGTTTTCCATTAAAAAAACCTCACTTGGTCGACTTCTTGGACCAACATAATTCAAACTTTTTATCTTTGACTAAGCCAAATGTTTGCTGTACATATTATCATATTATGAAAGAAGGGGTACGTTAAAATATCGGTATATAAAACAGGATTTATGGCATAAATTACCCTAAATTATTTTAGATATGATACCACCTATTAAAACAAAAATCGGAAAAATAAACTTTTCATATTTGCATTTCTGAGGAAGCCTGGACTAAATACTGTGGATTTCAGCAGAACATGACAAGCTCGACCTCATAAATGTATTTATTATAAGGCTGTACGGGACAGAGTTGGAGTTTGGATGTTCTCCCTGTGCATGTGTGGGTTCTCTCCGGGCTCTCCGGCTTCCTCCCACAGTCCAAACACATGCTCATTAGGTTAATTTGTCACTTTAAATTACCTTTAGGTGTGAATGTGAGTGTGTCTGTATGTCAGACCTGTGATTGGCTGGTGAACAGTCCAGGGTGTAACACCCCTCTCGCCCAGTGACAGCTAGGATCAGCTCCAGCACCCTCACGACCCTGAAAAGGAAAAGCGGTCTAGATAATGAATGGATAATAATAAAAATAATAATATTTAAGAAGTCTTATTAGATTTGCTCTTAACAATTTATTTCTGAAATTAAAACATCATCTGACATATATAATAATATTAATAGTAGACGGCACATATGGCCAAAATTTACAAACAAAAACTATCAAACAGAATGACAATAAAAATACTCCCTACCTTTGTTACACAAAGAAAAAAAATAGCTGCAGTGCTCGGAGTCACCACTAGATGCTGCTCTCTTCATGTTAAAGTAATGGGAACTCGTGCTTTGTGCTGGTGTTTAAAACGGGACCTTTAATGGGAAATGCCACTTCCTTCTGTCCAAACAAGCTCATTGAAGTCAGTATTTTTTTAAACATTGAGTGTGTGATGTATGTGTCTGGATTTATTCAGGATGAGGTGTGACAGCAGCCCGGTCTTGTCCCGCCCTTCCTCTTGAGCATGCTGTGATATTTACTCTCAGGCCTCAGAGTCAATGTTTACATTTAAAAAAACACAAAGCTTTGAAGAGGAATACACTTTCAGTCCCTCCTGCAGACTCTTTAAAAACACATCAGTATTCCACCCCTAACTGGACGTAATGAATGTCTTAGATTCCCAGCAAGCACTGCATCTGAAATGAGGAAGATCGGTGTCGTCTGGCGGGTGAAACTGGGATGGAGTTTTTCTGAATTTGCCTCTAATGGCACTGCTGAGGCTTTCAGAGCAGCTGGAGAGCCATTACATGGTTTAGAGACAATTTAGTGCAACATTTAAATAAATAATATCTGTGCAAAAACACGATTTAATGAAATGCAATATTTCCAGGAGCCCGGGGGTGGGGGGAAGGGGGTCGAGACTGGAGTTCCCAAATGTTACACAACAGGGCGATAAATGTTGTAATAAGGAATTTAATTCAAAGTTAGAGAGCTCACTGCAGAGAAGGAGAACAGGGGAAGTGGTGTAAAAAAATCTATGAATTAGACATGGAGGTTAGGTAACACTATGGTCACAGATGAAGACTTTGTGAATCCATCTGGTTTAACAGTTCACTCTCCACGGAGGAGAAAAAAACAGCAACAGAGCTGCAAAAAATCAGAGCAACTGCATGAATACTTCATAATCCTCGATCATTAGTTGCCCAGCAGGAGAAGTGGTGATTGCATTTTCTGAATTTATTGAGCAAAGGTTACAGTACGGGCATTCAATATGTGTGATTTCTCAATGATTTTATAAACTACTTATTCGTCAGTAACTTTTCTGCACTCTTGTAAAGCACTTTGAACTGCAATTTAATTTATCTGAAAGGTGCTATATAAATAAAGTTTGATTGATTGATTGATTTTGAGTGGTACATTTATATTATTCAGGGTAGTTGGTGATGGCAACTGGAAGGAGTGGTAGACTGCAGGGAGCATGCCTATGTTCCCACATTCCCTTTTTCTTACATTTTTAAGTAACTTACCCTAACCCTACCCTGTGGGAACATAGGGCTGACCCCGACTGGGTGATGCTTACTTCCTGCAATACACAGGGAACAGTGCCAGTTGTTGACATATCAATGCTGCTACTGACACCTACTGGCCACAATGAATATTGCATTGCAGGCACTTAGCCGGTGAATCTCTCCTATTTAAAGGTCACACAAATCATCTAAATAAATTACATTTAACCAATGTGATAATATAACTGATAACCAAAAATCACAAGCATAGTCTTAGCTACTAAAATACCCAGGGTGCCGCACGACTCCACAAGCAAGGATCTAGAGAGGAGCTTAAAGTCTGATTGGACACACAGGGGCTGACAGGAAGTGCACAGAGGAAGAGCACTTTAAAAAAAAAATAATTAAAGGTGATATATCGTCATGAACAACAACATAGACATCTGCTCTGGAGATTTCTAATCAGCATAAAAACCATCTTAAAAATCATCATCATCAATGTGTGTAGGTGTTCAGGTGTTGATGAAAGAGCTGCCTCTTTCACTTTTCATGCCTGTGGCCCCTTTCCCACCTGTCATCCTCTCTCTCTCTCTCTCTCTCTCTCTCTCTGGTTTCCTACTCCGTCCACCGTCCTTTCCAATACAGACAAAAATCCCCCAAATAAAAATCTTAATAAAAAATGTAACCCTCAAAGAAACAATTTTTTCCCAGTTTTTTTGTCATTATGATCAGAATTTACTTCAAAATCTGAGCACATAAGCCATTTTTAAAACAATTTATATGCACGGAATTCAGCTAATGAAATTAATAAAAAAATGTGCATTCTGAGTTGATGTTTATTTGCCTTCAACATGCTCTAAAATATTCAGAGAGGATGGATCATTCCTTTAGCAAGAATTGTAGAGACACCAGCAGAAATACAATCATTTCATTCTTATGCAGCGTGTCCCTAAATGTCCAGAGTGTGATGTGTAATTACACAAAGTAGACCGACTGTAATGATTGCTCGTTAGCTTCCACCATCATCCCCACCCGAATAGTCCCCAAAACTTCCCACAACACAACTCTCAGAGCCAAAACGTGGTCAATTTTCCCAGCTGTCAGATGTGATTTAACATTTCCTTGGGTTCCTTGCAGAGTGCCACTTTAGTCTACACAATGATGTACAAGCAAAAAACGTAAACATCATGTTCTCTGGCCACCCCAACTTCCTCTAAAAGTTCCCTCAAAAATTCCTTTTTTAATGGCTCCAATTTCCTCCTTCCTCCTTCATCGGGCTATGAAACTGCTCTCTGTGCTACGGCGGCTGATGTAAACACAGCTTTCAATTATAAATCAAACTCTTAAAGAGCCAATGGTCCACTGCCCTCGGGCTCTCTGCACAAAGGCCCAGCGTTCATACCCAAACAGCCTCGTGGAACTGCTGGGAACTCATGTCCAGAGAGGCAACAGGATCATCTCACTGAGACAGAAACCTCTTCAGGGTTAGTGAGACTCCAAGTTATGCAGAGAATGTTTCATTCATCTTTTGTACTTGCAAACTGCTTCAGTATATCATTTAAGATAAACTGAAGGCACAGAGCAGTACTCATAAATTCATCAAACATACATGTTAAGTGTCCTTTTCTATTCCTTGTAAAAAATCATAGAATTACCTTTGGGGAGAGTTGATGCAAAAATGATGCAAATGCGTGGATTTTGGATTTTGGATCATTCCAGAAAATAATCTCTGTGGCAAACACACGTTTCTGAAGCGTAGGCGTTTTGTTCAGCAGGATAATCTTCACAGATGGACTCCATTTTTATGATGTTTGAAGCGTTAATGCGGCCGACAGAAGTAAAAAGCTAACGTTATGCTACAAGCTAACTACACCACGGTTGGATGATTGTGATGTCACTAGCGTTACGCTTCAAGACGATCTCCGATAAACTAATCCACGTAGCTTAATAAATAGTTTACTAACATAATATTCACCTGAACCTAAAGATTAAACCTACAGGAGACATCTCCGACTAGTGAGAGAGTTCCCGCCCTCTGTGTCCGGCGTGATGACATTTAGCCGCTTGTTAGCAACCGCCTTTTTAAAGACGAGTAAAAACTTCAAACTTCACAAGTGTGGGTATTACCTAACGTAGTTTATGTGGTCTAACAAAACACCAACATCTCTTCAGCTTGTGTTAACCACAGACCTTATTTCAGGCGTCTAACCACAAACCCATTCAAAATCCCTGTTGACTTTTAGACGTTAGCCCCCATTGCGCTCAAATGCTAACTTACTTCAGGGTTTTAGACTCATTCCTGTGGCGCTCTATAGAGGCCAACTTTACAGCAGAAGAAACATGTTCACAGCCTGGTTATCTCAGTCAGTATAGAGTGAACTCCATGTACAGAGTCCTTCATGCACAAGGTTCACCCCTGCCTTTAGTCCTTTAGTGCAGTGGTTCTCAACTGGTGGGTCGGGACCCAAAAGTGGGTCGTGGAGCTGTTTTCAGTGGTCAGAAAGTCTGTAAAGTGATTTGTGTACATGTTTGTTTTGTTCAGTTTCTTGCATGTGTCACATGTTTTGTACCATTGGAGATCCAAACTGCATAATTTTTCAACAAACAAATCGGAAATATTTCTGAAATTTGAGTCGTTTTTTGGGCTAGATGAGTTGAGGACCACTGCTTTAGTTTAGTGCATGTCCTCCTGACTCTCTTTCTTCTATTTCTATGTCTCTTTTTAGGCGCCCTATCAAACAAAGGCAAACGTGTCAGAACTACAACTCAAAAATAAACTAAATAGTTTTTAGGTCTGAAATTATGCATAACTACAGGTGGGTGCCACTAGCTGTCTGCGAGGTGTAAGCTGTCTGTGATTTTTAAGAATCAGATTCTTTATTGCCGTTATTGATTTGCAGCAGGAGCACACAGAAGACAACAAACACAAGGACAACATCACCCTAAAATCAAAATTAGAACAAAGTTAAAGAATCAGACAGCTCATACCAAAATAGGAATTCCTACCAAGTTAATAAAGTGCAAAGTGGAGGTGTGCAACGTGCAGTTCAAGTGAAGAAAAAAGCAACCAAATGGCTAATTGCTTTTTTTGCTCTGTGGTGAAAATAAATGAAATTGAAATTGTTCTGTTGTAAGATCACAATAATGACAACAGCATACATGAAGCTGGATACATTTAGAAACCTAGAAAAACTGTAGTTCTCAGAGATGAATCATGTCCGTTTCTGTGTTTCCCACTCACAGGTGAGAGTGGAAGTATACGACGTCATTTTGTTTCATCTTTAGCCACAGAACTTTTTATTTTGTGGTCGGTGGAAACGAAGGCTGTAAGTGAAGACCTCGAATGTCACAACATGTGGGGGTTGAATTTGACATAATGCACACAGTTTTGGAGTCGCACAAATGTATGGGGGCCTCCTGATTTTGTTATGAAAATGTAACATCACCATCATACACCATTTGTTTACCACAAAGTCATTTTTAAAATTCATGCCGTGTTTCTTCTGAGGCCGCGAGGGGACGAAAGCCTTCCCATCTGTGTCTGGTTCATCAAGTGGAGTGAGCAGAGCGAAAGGAGAAAGGAGACTCTTGATGGCCTCTCCTGAGACCCGGGTACTTCTATATTTGGTGCACTGTGATAGCCTTCAATCCCACCACACACAGACACACACACACACACACACACACACACACACACACACAGAGCACACTCCATAATGTCCTCTTCAGGGTTGTGTAATGATTTTCTTTCCCCAGCATCCGACTGCTTTCATTTGAAAATCTTGTTTCTCCATCTTTTCAGGAGTTCGACTGTCTGCTGTGTCATTTTGAGACATTACCGTACTTATGAAAGAGTTTGACATGCTTGGGGGGTTTGTGACAGTTTTCCCAAAGAGTAGAGTGTGTGTTAGCACTTAGAATAGATGGCTGAAAAGAATCAGTTTTGAAGCGTGGAAATGAGGCGGCTCAAAGACAGTTTATTGAACGTCTGAAATAAAGTCTGAACTTAACACAAGGGGAAGAGAGTTTCATATTTAGCTCTACAAAATTCAAGTAACCAGCGTCATATAGTCCATATAGTGTCCTCACTCTCTCCACTTTTGTACAGCAGAACTTATTGCTTGACATTTTAATTACATTCCTCTTTCATTAATATTTAATTGTACATAACTATATTTCTACTGCTATATTGTGTTTCAGTGCAACTGTAACGACCAAATTTCCCTCCGAAATACTCAAATAATCAGAAATACTTTATTAATCCATGAAGTATTTCTGATTCTGATTATCTGTTTTTAAAACAGACAGTTGTTGTTAACGAGGCTAAATGAGACTAATTGTTGAAACCATTAAAATGTTGCCCAGATCATTTTTAATTAGAAAAAGGCAGTTCTGCTTGAAAGGTCATAAAATGTTTTGTTTTTTTTACTTGCACAGCAGGATATGTAAGACTCAAAGTTAAATATATTAGTGCTTCTTGGATGATGTTGATTATCCTCAGTTGTCTTGCCGTTAATTAAAGATAAATACTCAGGTGTGGGTAAGTAAAAGCACGGGGACAACTTCTGCTGTGACTTCTGCATGACATATCCAGACTGACCAACAACAACAGCAACACCTTACTTGTCTTAAAGCAATATCACTCCTCCAACCGTAACCATGGGTAACCTTAAAGGCACAGTGCATCATATCAACCAGATACTCTTGTAAAATACAAATTGTAAATATAATAGAATTAGCATGAAATCAAATAATGTATATTATCTCAACCTGAGAAAAAATAAAGATCTATAAAATAAAACTTCACAAAAATAAATCTCATCTCCATCTTACACTATTTACAATAAGATATCATCAACCTTTATCTAAG